GACAGCCAACAGACATGTGAAAAGATGCTCAACATCACTAATCATCAGGAAAATGCAAATAAAACCTACAGTGATATATCACCTCACATCTGTCTGAATGACTATCACTAATAAATCAATGAACAAGTGTTAGGGAAGATGTGGTAGAATAAGAACCCTACTACATTGTTTGTGAGATGGTAACTTGGTGCAACCACTATGGAAAACAGTACGGAGGTTTCTCAAAAATTAAAAATGAAACTATCTTATGACCCAGAAATTCCACTTTAGTTATTTACCTGAAGAAATCCAAAACACTAATTCAAAAAGAATCATTCACCCCTATGTTCATTGAAACATTATTTACAATAGCTAAGATATGGAAGCAATCTAGGTGTTCATCTATAGACAAATGGATAAAGAAGATTGGGTACATATGGACAATAGATAGTATTCAGTCATAAAAAAGAATGAAATCTTGCCATTTGCAGCAACACAGATGGACGTAGAGCATATAATGCTAAGTGAAATAAGGCAAAGACCGAAAAAGACAAATACCACAGATTAGTTCTAACTTTCAATAATTTGCAAAAAGTTTTATCAAATATAGTTTCATTCCCTTTTTTTCTTTGAATTATAACTGTTTAAAATACATTTTTATTGATTTCTGAAAGGAAGGGAGGGAGGGAAGGAGGGAGAGAGAGAGTGAGATATCAATGATGAGAGAGAATCACTGATTGTCTGCCTCCTGCTTGCCCCCAGGCATGTGCCCTGGCCCAGAATTGAACCCTGACTTCCTGATAGGTCAAACCACTGAGCATTACCAGCCAGGCTGAATTACAACTTTATATATTGTAAGCTGAATCTTCAGAGTTTTATAATTATTGCTTTATGCTATTGTCTTTTAAAGTCAAATAGGAGAAAATAATCACAAACAAAAATACATTTATTCTCTCTTTTATATTTACACACAAAATCACATTTACTGACACTCTATTTCTATGTGTGGACTTGTGTTACTGTCTTTTCATTCGGCCTCTGCAATTAAAATTTCTGTCTATTTTGTCACACTAGATTGACTTGTCATCACATAATATTAATTACTGGTAAAATCTCTTTGAAGAGTGTTGAAGAATAAAGGGAAGTAGAGACTGATAAAAGTTGAGAAGGGAAGGTCTTTCAAAATTGGAAAGAACTTTGAATGTTGAAATTTAGTGTCAGACTCAAATATTTATCATATTTCATCTCCATTTCCATATAGAGTACCAGACACATAGTAGGTGCTTTTTAAATATTTGCAGGATAAATGAACATGAGTCCACATGTTGATTAAGATCTAAGTATTATAATATGTGAGGGCTAAAACTGGAAAGAATGATTATATGCACACAGGACCAAGTAGACTAAGATTAAGCAGGTCTTTAAAAAAGAGAAATTTTAATAAAAAATAGTCAATAGAATTTCAAGACTGAGTGAGTTCAAGACTGTAAAAGAGAGAATTGAAGTCATTGATTGTAGCTAAGCATTGGATAATTCTTTTAATGATGCTTAAAGGTCTTGAAAAAGTCAGAGAAGGCATGCATTTTGGGTGCTAATAATCATACACTTATTAATTTTGATGTATGTAATAGATTCCATGCATCTTTGTAATATGATTAAATAGGATAGGCATTCATTGATGTCCCACTTTAGCCTATGGCACTCCACGCCTTGCAATGTTGTTTATAGACATTAACAGTTGGACTTTGAGAGCTGCTCAAGCAGAATTCTATATAATCACTCACTTGTGGTTAATTTACTTTATTTTAGCTACTAAAGTGAACTCAGTTGGACTTGCTGTATTCTATTCTGATATGTTTTGTAAATGTCTTTATTTTTACAACCCATGCGTTTTACTGTGAATCTTCTGAATCATGTGGATTGTACTAATCAGGACAATCGATCAAAAGAGTGTAAGTAGATTATTTCTAAACTAGTAATCCAATTTTGAACTTATTTTAGAGCTTGAGAAATAGAGAACTATAAACTTAAACAACCAAGAAGTAAATTGGCTGGGTTTGGTAGTTATCTAATTATTCAACAGACTTTTTTTTTTTTTTTTAAATACTTTCTTCAGACAAGGTACCATATTAATTGTTGGGGTTGCAGCTATGAACAATAAAGATTCAGGTATCCCCATGTAGTTTTAAAGTTAGGTCAATCTGTAAATAAATGAATAAAACATAAGCACCTATTATATGTAATGCACACTAACCAGTAAAAAGATAGAACTAGGAAATTCTCTTAACACTGAATATCTAACATCTAAATCTCAGTCTAAATCTAAAATATTTTTATTCTTACGTGCTCAATAAGATTTTTCTTCTTTAAGAATATGTCCAAATTCTAATTTTCCTCTAAACCTATTTCAATGAATAACTTGGCAATGGATTCCCCTTGTTTTCCTATATCTAACCATTTTTTTAAACATTGTTTTACTCACTTTTTTTCCTCATAAACTATTTACTGAGCAACTGATATGGGCTAAGCATGTACTAATGGAAGGATATAAGATGAAGGTGAGAGTGTACTGTCTTCAATGTAGTAGAGTAAGGAAGATAGCAAAAAAAAAGTCATTATAACGTTAGTTAAAAGTGCTACAAAAAGAAATCTAGTGAAGTAGTCATATAGTATGTACATTAATTCAATTTATGCTTGTTATTTTAGAAATACATATAACATTAGTTAAAAGTCTGCATAATAGCACATAGTATTCAAGTATTTTATTTATTGAACACTTCCCATATAGTAGGCACTTGAATTAATTAATCTATTAAATGTAACAAAACTGTGATGTAAATGCTATATAACCACACTATAAAGATGGAGAAAGAGAGGCACAGAAGTGGAAGTATGTAATTAACAAAATTCATCTATCCACTAAGTTGAAGTCAGGATTGAAACTCATATAGTCTGAACCTTGAGTCTATGTTTGACTTGTCGATCATTTCCAGTTATTCACTCCCCAGCTTCTAAGAAGATACCCATTGCCCTTTGTGAGTAAAGGGTACTTCCCTTCTTCATGGTCAAGCTTAACCACATGCCTTGTTTTGACTACTGAAAACTGGGGAGACATAACTTATGCCAGTTCAAAGCAAAATTTTGAGACATTAAATATTTCTCCCAGCTTTCTCACCCTTTTCCTCTGTCCCAGAATGGCATGTTCCAGGAAGTGATGCTCCTTCAGATTGTGTGGACAAGTGGAGCATAGTTTCTGCCCAACCTCACCACTGGCATGGAACACGAGTGAGACAAACTAATATCACAAGCACATACTTGGGAGTTGTTTTTTACAGCTGAATAACCTAGCAAACACTGACTAATATGCCCCTGCTCTCACTTGGTTAGAACATCTTCTCATAAGCCAAAAAGGCTTCGGGTTTGATTCCTGGTCAGGGCACATAGCTAGTTTGTAGATTCCATCCTGATTGGGGTGCAGATGGGAGGCAATCAATTGATTTTTTTTCTCACATTGATGCTTCTTTCTCTCTCCTCACTCCCACCCCTTCCTTTATTTCTAAACTCAATGAAAAAATACACTTGGGCGAGGATAAAAAAAAAAAAAAAAGAATCCTTATGCTTTGTGGTGATGGGTCTCTTAAAAAATAAATAAAAACTGACTAGTATGATAATACTTATTAAGAAGTGGGGTATAACAGTAACAAACGGCCTAAAATATGTGGCATTGACTTTGTGGTCAGTGGAGAGTGTTGAGGAAACCATCATTAGAATTTGCAAAATCACCACCTACGTTTTATAGTGGCATGCATTTGCTAATTTATTTAAAAAGTTCAGAGAACAGAATGATAATAAGTGTTGGTACTGGTTGCATTTATGATATCGTAAAAGAAATGACTTCTTTGCAAAAATAGAGGAATAGAAAATTTGGAATTATGAGACATACAGAGCTGAAAAATGCAGCTGTTGCTCATATCCAACCACTAAAAGATGAACTTGAAAATTGCTTTGAATAACAGGGGATAAAGAAGACTCAAATTAAGACTCATCCTCAGACAAAAACCAAATAAAAGGTTTGTGAAATTATTTTAATGAATTTAAGTGGCCCAACAAATTATTTCAGTTGGATAGAATGTGTCAGAGTAAACAGACTAAAGGAATGGATTTTCACAAAGCCAGGTAAACTCAAAGTACTGGCAATACATTTAGAGACAGAGATACTGTAAGTTATGTTATTTAAATACAGAATTTACAAATAGAAGAGGCTGAGCTTTATTCTTTGACTATACCTTTATAAACCACTATATGTGTTTTTTTGTGATATCCTACAAATCAAGGTTTACCTTAAGTGCTATCTGCTTTGACTTAGATTCCCCTCCACTAAGCCTTCCTCTGATTCCCTGTGCTTATATTTATTAAGGTAATGTTCATTCTGTATCTGAATGTCTCCCTTCTGTAGGCTATGAATTCATCAATGACATAGACATTTAACTTTTAATCAGATATTCATACAAAAAATACAATAAATGTTTGATGAATGAACCACCAAGTGATTTACTGCATAAACTGGAAAAAGCAACATTACCTAACAAATTTTAGTATTCCCAAATCAGCACTATCAACAGTTTCTAAAACACCGAATTCTGTTGGAATCTTCTACTGTTCTAAAAAAAAAAAAAAAAAATCTTTGAAGTTGGAGATTCAACCCATATAATAAAAATGCATCAGAAAAGTTTAATGGAATTTTAATTTTCTATTTCTCATAAAAAGTAAAATTTATAGTATAAGACCTAGACAAAAAAATCAAGTCAATTAGTCACAGAGGTTTAAATTTAAAGTCATGAAGCAGTTCATAAAATACATTCTACAACTATCTCTCTAAAGAAATGCCTGGAGACATTGTCAGGGCCAGAGAGCCTCAGTGTTTTAGGAAAATGCACAGTCCTTTGCTAAGCATCCTCTCTTATATTTCATTTTTAAGCACATCCTGAAGAAAGCACAAGGACATTGTTTGAAATACATACCTGCCGGCACCAGAGTTTACGAAATATCTGCAGATAGGCCAACACCATGAGACACAGAGGTGCCATGTATGTCACCAGAAAGAAACAGATGTGATACATCTTGGGGTAAATATCACCTGGAATGAAAGTCAAAATAATAAAATCTTATAATTCATAGATATTTTAAAAGGTAACTTTGTTATATTCTATATAATTTCATTGGCACATCTATATACAAAGGGGAAAAATAATTTACACTAACTACTTACAATTATTCAGTGTATGTATGTACAAAATGTGAAGTCTTGATTTCATTTAATGACCCAGAGAGGAATAACAATTAGCTATTTCTTAATTTGTGCTGTCATAGTCTATCCAGTCAAGTGTTCATTTATTGAAAGCCCTTATTTGTTTTGATTACATGAAGCTAATTAATAAAAATTAAATTGGATTTTCCTACACTCACATTTACAAGAAGGGACATGGCTCAATCAAAACCTAATTACCAATGCTTTTGTTAAAATAGCAAGAAAACGTAAACTCAGTTGATTTCTTCTTATTAAAATATAAACTGTAACTTCAAATGTGGAAAAAATTGGAAAAATAAATACAGCAAACATTTGATAAATAGAACACATAGAAAATTAATTGTTAAGTATGTTGTGTGTATATTTATGTATATATATATATATATATGCATCTACTGTTAATAAAAATGAAATTTTTAAGAGATTTTTAAAGTTAGTATTTTTTAAGAGTTTTAAAAATATATTTTATTGATTTCAGATAGGAAGGAAGAGGGAGAAACATTGATGATGAGAATCATTCATGCCCCCCTCCTGCATGCCCCCATCAGGTACCTTGGCCATAAATTGAACCATGACATCCTGGTTCATAGGTCGACACTCAACCTCTGAGCCATGCTGGTCAGGCAAAGTTAGTCTTTAAAATGACACAAGTATTGTCTTTTTTACAACCATCTCACTTATTAGTCACTAGAGGCCAGATGCATGAAATTCCTGCAAGAGTAAGCCTTCCTTCCTATGGCTGCCAGCACCAGCTTAGCCTCTGGCACCTGGGACCCAGGCTTCCTGCGGTTGCCAGCAGGCACCTGGGACCTGGGCTTCCCTTGCAGCCCTGGCTTCATCTGAAAGGTCACCTGGAAGAACATCCGGTCTAATTAGCATATTATGCTTTTATTATTATAGATAATTATGGATAAGCATCTGTAGAAGTATAACTATTTTTTATCATTATTTTTTTAACACAGTAAATCTTACCTCAGATTAGGCATTTATTAAACAATCAATTAATAAATTAATGAATGGCATTGTGGCTTAACATTATTGCTATTATTATTATTATTATTATTATTATTATTACTACTAAAGGCCCAGTGCATGACATTCATGTATGATTAGAGTCCCTAGCGGCTGCTGGCTGCCAATTGGGGCCTCCCTTCCCTGGATGCTGGCTGCCGGCTGGGGCCTTCTTGTTTAACACCACCCCTGGTAGTAAGTGCACATCATAGTGAGCAATCAAACTTCTGGTTGGTTGAATTCCTGAGGGCCGTTGCACAAAATTTGTGCAAGGGTGTGTGTGTCCCTCAGCCCAATGTGACCCTCTCAACTCTGGGACCCTTCAAGGGATGTCCAACTATTCATTTAGGCCCAATCCCAGAAGGACATCCCTCTCATAATACATGACTGTTGGCTCCCAACTGCTCATCTGCCTGCTTTCCTGATTGCTCCTAACCGCTTCTGCCTGCCAGCCTGATCACTCCCTAACCACTCCCTGCCAGCCTGATTGATGCCTAACTGCTCCCCTGCCAGCCTGTTTGCCCCCAACTTCTCTCCTCTGCTGGCCATCTTGTGGCGGCCATCTTTTGTCCACATGGGGACAGCCATCTTGTGTGTTGGAATGATGATCAATTTGCATATTACTCTTTTATTATATAGGATACTAGAGGCCCAATACTCAAAGATTCATGCAAGAATGGGCCTTCCTTCTTCTGCCTGCCAGCACCACCTCGGCTCAGGCAGGAGCTGCCTTCCCGCCTTCCCATGCTGCCCAGAAGCCTGGAGTGGCTAGAATGGTTCAGAACACCTATGTCATAGCCATGGTGATAATGCAAGTGTCCTGTCCTGCCCCTGGCTGCTCAGTGCCTGCATATGCAAATTAACCCACCATCTTTGTTGGGTTAATTTGCATGCCCACTCCTTATTGGCTGGTGGGTGTCTCGAAAGTACGGTCAATTAGCATGTTGCTCTTTTATTAGTGTATATTTTTTTGCTATCCTAAAATAAATATATTACTGATTTTTAAAAAATGCTTGGATATTTTTCTTACACTAGTATTTGAATATATTACTTTTACGTAAATGTAAAACAAAAACCAGAAAAGTATCCTACATGGATTCCATAGACATTAAATGCAAAAATTAGAAATAATTCTAACTAAAAGCTAACAAAACAAAGGGTTTTTAAAATTAATTTCTAAAAATTACACAAGTCATTTGGTCTTTGATATTGACAATCAGTTGGTTCCATACTATCATTGAGGGATAATTCTATCACCACTGTGCATTTTATTATTTTCATTACTTCACAAAGGGCATATTGTATAGAAGCATGAAGACTCAGTTATGCCATCAAATGTTTTAAGGGCAATATATACTCAGGATCAATGAATAATAATTGTGATGATCACCATCCTAAAGATAACATTTACTGAACAATCTTTCAATTCTTACTGAATATATTTTAGACATATCTTTAAGTTAAATATCCTCCACTTGATTTCATAGCCTTATCTTCTAGAGTTGGTTGAGTTTAATATTCGCCTTAATCTTCTTTCTAAAACTTGGTCTTTTTTCTCTGATGGAAATATTTCCCTACCATAATCTTCAGAGGAGACAGCAGGGGGTGTGTACCGTGAAGGGATCTCAGAGCGAAATGAGTTATTTTTAGCTTCTCTTTGGCCCAAGTGGCTTACACCTAGCTCATCAGTTTCCAACTCCCTTTCAAGCTTATCCTGTAAAACAGGCCAGTTCCATAAAAAGTGATGGAACCCAAGCAGCCTGACTACAGGAATAACAAACAGCCATTCCTTTTGAAGTGCCATAGCCCCAGCAGCATTTGGTAAGCCAATTTCCAAGAAGAGTGACTTCAGCCCTTTCCAGACACCTAAGTGGCTTTGAACTTTTGTTTGCTTTAAAGAAGGTGTCACATGAGCTCCCCACATAAAGATATAGCTTTGAAGCTTGCATACCTGGGAGGCCTTGATGTCTACGTTAGACTTACTCAATTGAGTGAGTGGAGGAAGGTAGATTTTAATAGTTTTTTTTTTGTTGTTGTTGTTGTTTTTTTTCTGTAGCTATGGTTCCCATCACTGTGATATCAGTCTGAAGTTTTAAACAGATGGGAGAGAAAGCTCATTCAGAGGTTGGTACATTTATATAAATACTTGGGAAAATATGTAATTGGCTGGTAAATACATATTATGTTAATGAATACCCACACAGAAAAGCTGATCAAGCAAAATTATACTTTCAGGGCTGGGATAGTAGTTTGTTTTAATAAAGATATTATTATACATAATTGGGGTAACATGATATTCTTAAATTCCTCATTTCATGCTTAGGGTCTAAGCTGATCGGAAACCCAGAAATACCATGAAAATGTTAAGTTGTCTGTGTTGAAGTTGTCTTTGTAGTCTCTCTGTACTTGAGGAGCAACGTCTTAAATATGTTTTAAAACATTTATATACAACCTAGAATGTAACTACATGAAACTTGTCCCACTAAAGGATAATCTAAGTTAGATAACCTAAGCATTTTGAAGATTGACAACCATTAAAAATTGGTATTTCTATTCAACTGATGAATAGGCATATCTGGATAAATTTTTGCATACATATTAAATGAACAAATAAGGAGCAAATGTGGATATTTATTTCAGCTTTAAAATCAGAGATTAAAGAATAATATCATATATTAGACAAAACTTAATTTCTTTTTTTAGAGAGAGTAGAAGGGTGGGGGAGACACAGAAACATATATTGGTTGCATTTGATAATTGAACCTGCAATTTGGGGGCGGACACTCTCTCCACTGAGCAAGACTGGCTAAGGAAAACATAATTTCTCTCAGATGAGTTAATGTCCATTTGTGAGCCAACATGTTAATCTAATTATCTAAAAACTATAAACATTTTCTACTTCATGGTACTCCTATCAGGGATTTAATGGCAAGTAAATTAAAAATAATTTCACAAATATTTAATTTGAACCACCTTATCCAAGTTTATGGATCCATTACAGTTCACCTGAATCTTTAATACATTTTAGTATCTTCTCCCTAATAAATATTGTAATAAATGTTCCTATTCATGCACATAATACACACATATTTATAGATTTTCAAAATCTCATAAAGACTAGATGCCATAATGAATTTGGCTGAAAGAAGAGATCCATTATTATGTTTTTTCATACCATTAAAGAACAATTTTGCAATAAAATTCAAAAGGGGAGAATTATATATTCCCAGTATCCAGAACTATTTTGACAAATAGTGCCTGCTCATTAAACAGTGGATGATTGAATAATGAGATAATTATACCACTGTCTGAGTGCAAAAAGAAAGTTGCTTTCCTCCCAATAGGATTATCCTGTGAAATGATGTATTTATAAACCAATCAATCAAAAACATATGGGTATAATTCTGGAAGAATTTTTAAGTTTTAGAAATGTGAATTGATGTGACTGAGGCAAACAATGAACATATACAAATACATATTTTAAGATCATTAAGATAAATATTAACACATTTTATTTGTTTTTGAGTGTCAAGTGTGCCTACCAAAAGTTCTGATTTGTGGTCATTTTTTCTTCTTCTCATCAAGCCATAGGCAATAATGAATATAATGACTTCCATAAAATATCACATCTTTCTGGTAATATTTTCAGTATGACAGAGTTCTCAGTTATTTTGCACAATGAATGAGACAGCATTTTCCAAAGGTTATTTGATAGATATGAATCAAGAGGCCACATTGTTTATTGTCTCTTTTCACACTGAATATTGGTTGTAAAACAATTATGATATCACATCTGCTTTTATAACAATATTACTGATATAACTTAGGATAAAGAGAGGGAAAACACAGTTCACAACACATTTTTTAAAACTGTACAAAATGGTATTCAGATTTTAAAAATGTTTAAACTTTAGAGAGCTGACAATGTAAAATATAATTCCTATGATGTTTTTAAGGTTGAAAGTATCATACATGTATGTGAGTTATAACATTTTAAAGTTGAATATGGACTTATAAATAGCCTAAATTAGCAAAGCTCATGCTATGTAAAAATTATCATAAACTAAATGTTTAATGAGAAAAAGAAAAACCTGCTTTGGATTCTTTCAGATTATTCTTGAAAAATTGTGATTAACAATTTCATTTAATATTATCTCATTCATTGTGCAAATTAACTGAGAACTCTGTCATACTGAAAATATTACTGAATTTGTGGACCAGTCCCTCAGCCTAGCCTGAGGGATTGGGCCGAAACCAGCTCTTTGACATCCCTTGAGGGGTCCTGGATTGTGAGAAGAATCAGATCAGGCTGAAAGACCCTACTGGTGTATGATCAGGGCCAGGGAGGGACACAGGAGGTTAGCCAGCCAGAGAGGGACTGCAAGAGGGCTCCAGGGTGTGTCTGGCCCATCTCCTTTAGTTCCAATCAGCTAGACCCCAGAAGCTAGTTAATCTACGGCAGCGTTTTTCAACCGCTGTTCCGCGGCACACTAGTGTGCCGCGAGATGTTGCCTGGTGTGCCGTAGGTGCAGACAAGACAAGAATTTTATAATTTTTCACTATTTTGTTTACTTAATATTTCATAATAAAGTAATTATAAAATACTTTCTTTGTGTTTATTTGATTCCTATTCAAGAGAATTACTTTATATATAGTCAATATAGGCACAGAGTTAAATTTTTTAACATTTTCTAATGGTGGTGTGCCTCGTGATTTTTTTCATGAAACAAGTGTGCCTTTGCCCAAAAAAGGTTGAAAAACACTGATCTACGGGTTGGAGAATCTGCCCCTGGTGGTCAGTGCATGTCATAGTAACTGGTCAAATAGTAGACTGCCTGCCCTCTGGTGGTCAGTGCACATCATTACCAAGCGGTTGAGCGACCTTAGCATATCATTAATGTATTATGCTTTGATTGGTTGAATGGCCAACCAGACAACCAGACACTTAGCATATTAGGCTTTTATTATATCATATTTAGAAAAGATATATATATATTTTAGATTTTATTGTTTTATTTTGAAGATGATCAAATTCAATTTGAGCCACTTAATTTTAGCCTTTATAATAATTTTAAGTAATTATGAACTAATATAAAATCACTTTTAAGTAATTTTCCTAAATGACTTCTAAGGCTGAGTTTAGATTTTTAGGTACTCAACAATAATTGCTTTTAAAAAGAATATTTTTGAAAATGTCCCTGCTAGAGCAAGGTAATAAAAATACTCAAGGTTGAAATATATATATATATATATATATATATATATATATATATATATATATATATATATGTAATTTATATATATCAATATATATAATTATATATATATATATATATATATTGCTCAAATATATATATTGCTCAAACATAATTAGAAGATGATGTGGTTATTAATTGTGACAACTGTCAGTATTCACTACCTTTGTATATTGTTTGTTAATGGGAATTAACATTACCTGGTTATTCATGGCAATATAAAAAAGGAAAAGTTTATAAAAACTTTCTATAAACTTATAAATGAAACTCCTAAAATACTTTTAGTAAAAATGTTATTAAATATTTGAATAGTAAGTGGGTGTTTTATCTAGTTGACATAATGAATAGTAAATGGGTGTTTTATCTATTTACCATTTCCATAAAATTTTTAAATCTCAACTTTAAACTGAAAGCTTAGATTTACAATTATCTGTTTGCTTCATGACCAAATAATTTATGGTTCAATTTCATCATGAATTAATTAAAGAATTCTGACCAAGAGATTTTTAGGATGTTTCCAAATATAACTCATTATAAAGGAATTGCATAAGAGACATATCACAATGGGGCCCAACCCACTTTCTATCCAAATACAATTCATTCATAAATCTACATAGCCTTACATTCCCTAAACTGTCAGTTGGGACCCTCTTCCTTTCTTCTGCCCATGGTGTAGGTTTCCTTGCTTCCTGGGACATCTTTTTACCTCTTCCCTGTCTAAAGAAACCCTGCTCATCTCTAACGTGTGGCTGAAATCTTAACTCCTCTGTAAACTTTTGTCCAAATGTTAGAAGAGTAAATCTCAGCAACAAAAATTATATTATTTGAGATAATAGAAAAACCAAATTGTGAAATATAGCTAACAAGAAAATGTACATTATCCTAGTGACTTTTAAACTTTATCTTGCTCTAGTGAAAGCATATACCTAATTTCTTAGTTATTGACTTTTTCTCTTTTCAGTGTTCCAATAAAGTACCAAGATAAGAATTAACATAAATTAATTCAAATACTTGAAATTATATGCATAAGGTATCCCTTTGGTGCACTGCTTGTTTTGGGGTACATCTTTTTTTCTTTCCTTTTTAAAATATATTTTATTGATTTTTTACAGAGAAGAAGGGAGAGGGATAGAGAATTAGAAACATTGATGGGAGAAAAACGTCGATCAGCTGCTTCCTGCATACCCCACAATCAAGGTACATGCCCTTGACCTGAATCGAATCTGGGACCTTTTAGTCTGCAGGCAGATGATCTATCCACTGAGCCAAACTAGTCAGAGCAGAGTACATCTTTCTCATAGGCATACATGTATAGCTTTCTAATAAACCAATGTTTTCCTAATGTTTAAATTCCATAATTATAAGCCATTGTTATACACTTATTCAGAAGAGGATATATTTTTTTTCTTCAGATTTTATGCAATAATTCTGGAACTAGTGCATGCTATGCTAAAATGAAGGATTTTTAAAATTTGCAGTCATTCTTTGCTGGGTTCAGATTTGTGTTACCACCAAGCACTGACTGAAATGTTTCCATGGTTACAAAAAAACCTTAGACTGTCACTGAGAGGTTTGGATCAAAAGAGCATAAACCTCTAAGCTTCTGCTTATTTAAAATGAACTACCTTACATATCATATAGGAAATAAAAAGATTCATTATCCATGTAATTCCTAAATTATGCCATAATTATTCCAGACATAAACTTTATTAATTTAACTAGAGGCCCAGTGCACAAAAGTTTGTACACTCAGAGGGTTCCCTCAGCCCGGCCTGCACCCTCTCACAATCTGGGACCCCTCGGGTAGGGTCGCTAGGCTTGGCCTGAGATCAGGGCCTACCAAGGCTTTCCCTCTCTGGGCTGCAGGCAGCTGGCTCCACCACTACCACTGCCACTGCTGACCATCTGTGCAGCATTGCCCCCTCTCCCCTCCACCGGTGGCCTCCCTCTGCAGGTGATAGGCTGGGGAGCAATGGCTTAGCTGGCCTGGGCCTCTCTCTTTCTTTGTTGGGGGTGGGGGGTTGTGGCCAGCCCTGCCTACCTGATATCCCCTAACCACTTGCTGGCCTATCTCACCGCCCCTAACTACTTATCTGCCTACCTGATCTCCCCTAACCACTTGCCTGCCTAGTTGATCACCCCTAACCACTGGTCTGCCTATCTTATCATCCCTAATCCCTCTTCCTGCCTGCCTGATTGGCCCTTTCGACTTTCTTTGGGGTGGAGCTTGCACTGACTTCGATTGGTCAGCCGCCAGTTGTTACTGGGCCTTATGACCAGGGTTTTTATATATTAGGATATGTAATGACCAGAGAAAGCAAACTTAGACATTTTGACACAGAGAACGGCATTGGTCCACATATTCAACTCCAGTTAAGTGTCCAGTTAGCACATGGTTTTCAAATTCAGTCATTTTGAAGCCCATTGGGGCAAGATAATGCTGTGCCATATTATAAAATGCAAATAACTCCAGAATTCATATTTGAATTCATATAAGCAAGTCCTTTTTATTTTAGAGAATTTAAGAAAGGGAAACATAACCAGATCTGAATTGAGGAATAAACTCCTCCTTCCATTTCCTATCTGGAAACTAGATCATAATACATAGCATCTCTGAAGGACCAGGACAGGTAGGGCTCTTCTGTGACACTATTTTAGGTTTCCACTTGGTTTTCATGCTTTTACAAATCTATGAACAAATGGCAATAAAACATACCAGGTCAGCTTTACCGTGGCTATGCAACTGACGTTTCCAGCATGCAGCTGTAACAGAAATGCCAGCTTGTGAGCCATGATGCACTCACCTCCCCAGTGCTCGTCACACACTGTGAAGAGGGTGGTTTTATTGGCCAGGGCAGGGATCATGGTGTAGCACTCCATGACGATGGCCTGAGGGATCATTATAATGCAGGAGACGATCCAGATGATGACAATGCTGTTCCGGGCCCGCTTGGCTGTGCTCTTAAACATCAAAGGATGACAGATCGCATACCATCGATCCAGGGCAATGCAGCTCAGTGTGAGGACAGACACAGACACTGACACAGTCTAGAGAAAGAAGGACAGAGCACAAGAGAGGTGCCTGGTATTACATGGATCACTCTTAATATTTTTACCTTATAAGAAAGGCAGTCACAACAAATAACCACATTTAAAATTGCCAAAAAAACATTCTATGCAGTGCTTTCTAATTTAAAAAAAATATCTGCCAAAAGTAATATTAAACATGTTTTAGGGAAAAAAAATGATATTTCTTATTGAACATGCAAAAGGTACGATGAAAGCATTGCACACTTTTTCGATGCAAAACGTTTTAATTTATAATCTGGCAGTCTTTGAGTGATTACTATCCTTATATTGTCTTGAAACTTTTCCATTGATAGAGAAAATCATATCCTCAACTGGAAAAAATAAAACACATATGATTAATTTGAACTGGAAAACCCTCTAATTTCATCTATAATTATAACCTTAAAGGGCTAAGCTCTATCAGTGTAGGCTTAGATTATTTGATAGCACCTGGGAATTCTTGGTGTTACTTAGAGTGTATTCAGACCTCTTTCCCAACCTAGTCCCTTTCTCTTACCAACTTCCACTGCTTCCTTGCCAATATGTCTAGCACCTAAGGCCCCTCAATACCATTACTAAATTGAGGGTAGAATTCTTATGGTCTTGATAGGCACACTTGACCTTTCATAGCTGCTGTGCCACAGCTATATTTAGCCAATCAAGAAATTAGAAGTGTAAAATGTTCAACAAGGCTAAGTGATTTATTATTCATGAATTCTAATCAATGTGGGTGAAAGAGCTAGACATAGTATGGTTCAAATTACAAAGTCATTTGTAGTGTTTCTCTCTACTTTTAAAAAGTAAGGGTCTATTCAAAACAGTTCACTGAAAGACTGCCACCCAGTGCCTACAGTTAGCCAAAGTGCAGTGCCTTCTCAGTTAGGGGATGTTGTGTGAGAGACTATGCTGCATGTCTGATCCATCAGTAGAATCCTCTGAATGTACCCTTGACAATCAGTAATTTAATATGTACTGTTTGATGACTATATTTATTGGTGTGTTATATTACACACACAAAATCAATTTACTTGATTTTCTTGGGGGAGGGGGATATAAAATTCCTTCATATCATAAGTGATTATAAATGAAGAGTTTTGTTACTGCTTTTCAATTCCAGGAGTGCTCTTCTGAGTGCCTTTTCCATTTAGATTTTGATATTAGTTCAAATCAACCAGATTGTTAATCATTTCAAAAATGAACCTAGTGGTTGAGAATGAACTGAAGTGAGATGATGTGAATTTCTTTGTTGTCAGGTACGTGGTCACTCACTCTTCCTGTGGGCATCCTGTGGTCAGCATGTTACTGGAGGCTTTCTTTGGCAGAGAATGAGTCTGTTTTATATTTGCACATAGAAATGACAAAAGGACCTCAGAGACCCATGACAGGTAGAAGTGGAAATTTTGCCACATCACAGGTTTGGATGACAGGCACTAATAGATTGGAAGGTGAGAATGTGTGACTGTGAGTGAAGGAGCCTGTCTGACCATCAAGCACCAACAACCCACATCTCTATTGGATTCTGTTCTTTTCCTGGCATTTCCTGTGCAGAACCATTTCTTTGCTCATAAAAAAAATAATCACTCAGACTTGGGGATGGAAGTGGCTTGGAAGAGGGTGGAAAAGAGGGGGAATGAGAGATATCTGTAATACTATCAACAATAAAAAATATATTAGAAAAATAGTCACATGGAGAAAGAAGCTAATGGCTGCTGTAACTGAAAGAAATATTTTTAAATTAAATTATATATATATGAAAATAAAATTTTAAAAATTCATAGTAATTATTCAGCACCTTGCCTAAAAAATATTAATGGTCTTATATTTGTATAATTATTAAAGACTAGAGGCTGTGCATGAAATTTGTGCACTTGGGGGGTGTCCTTCAGCCCAGCCTGCACCTTCTCCAATCTGGGATCCTTCGGTGGATGTTTGACTGCCAGTTTAGGCTCGATCCCACATCAGGCCCACAGGGATCGGGCCTAAACTGGTAGTCAGACATCCCTCTCACCCCAGGGACTGCTGTCTTCTAACTACTCACCTGTTTGCCAGCCTGATCACCTCTAACCACTCCCCTGCCAGCCTGATCAATGCCTAACTGCTCCCCTGCTGACCTGGTCACTCCTAACTGCCTTCCCCTGCTGACCTGGTTTCTCCTAACTGCCCTCCCCTCCTGGCCTGGTCATTCCTAACTGCCTCCCCTGAAGGCCTGGTACCCCCCAAACTGCCCTCCACTGCTGATTGCCCACAACTACTCTCCCCTGCTGGCCATCTTGTTGTGGCCATTTTGACCACATGGGGGTAGCCATCTTGTGAGATGGCATGAGGATCAATTTGCATATTATATCTTTATTATATAGGATATAAAAAGATCATTTTAATTATTCATCTAAGACTTGTTATATTTGTGAGATTTCAAAGACTTTTGAGCATTTGCCAAAGTGTTATAGTACAGCATTCATAAATCTAAAGGTTGTATAGTATTATGTTCAGAAGAAAAAGAACCTATAAATTATGAAGAATCAGAAAATGTACAAAGAATCTTAAATATAACCAAATAACCTTAAAAACTGGACGGGCATTCTGTAATTCGTTTTAAAATATTCAGTAGGACAAAAGTATCCGCATAGGTGCAAAAGCCATCAGTTTCAGAATATTACAATTATGGGAAAGAAATACCGTATTTTCCGGCGTATAAGACGACCTTTGAAACTAAAAAAAGCCTCCTCAGATTGGCCAGAGTGAGAGAGGCGGTCTATTAAAAAAAGAACTGGTGTTGCCTCGGAAGTGGGGGGTAGTCTTATACAGCGAATATAGGCCTAAACCTATGTTTTATCTGTAAAATTAGGGGGGTCGTCTTATATGCTGGAAAATACGGTACTTAAATTTTAGTTATTGGCTTATTGACCTTGGACACTGGAGATACTAGTTCTATATATTTGGTAGAACTAGTATCTCCAGTGTCCTATATATTGTGTGTGTGTGTGTGTGTGTGTGTGTGTATGTATATATATATATATATATATATATATATATATATATATATATATATATATATTTGCATTTGCATTTGCAACTTTCCATCAACAAGTAATATTGAATGAGGTAATGAATAGATCTGCACTTTTCCATCTGACTCAGATCTTGTAGTTACTCTGCAGTTGTCTCCCTGGCCTATGGAGAAGAGGACCAATGAGGAGTTGATTAGATTGGACGTTGTTTAAGGAGAAGCAGACTCCATTAGGAGGTGACTGTTCCTTCAACTGTAGGACTTGGTAAGTTGTACTGTGTAGATGATTATTGTCCATGACTTTCAGAGAGACGGATAGCCTGCATCGTTCACTGTACCCACTGCTTCCAGTCAGTCCTCCAGTGTTAACAGGAGAATCTGGAATACCCAGTCTATAACAAGGGATCATTGTGCAGTAGATCAGGACTGCACCATTACTGCATGATCCACACCTCACCCATCACCTCACTCTTAACAAGGGACTGTTCTGTTTCATGAAGAGAGTTTGAAATCATCTCTCCCAGAAAATAGAAGATTCTGGGCAACTAAAACCATCTTGAAACTTAATAGGATTCTCCTAATTTACCCCCAGATAGTTATTGGAACCAAGAGAAATACAAAGCTTGCTGGAAGTATTATAGCATAGCAATGGAGACATATTAGAATTCTCTGCTAGTATGGTGTCCCCTGTGTTTCTATAAAAACAACAAAAGACCCCTTTCTTATGGAATTTTTTTATGTTGCTCAATGTAGTATTTCTCTGGAAGAATCTTGCTGCAGTGTTTTTTTTGTAACCCATTCATGGTTTTCAGCCAACTGACCCAAACTAATCCTATTAAACTTAATGCCTTCTATAAAGCTTATAATTTCCATTTACTATTCCCCACTTACTATTCTATCAAGAATCTGACCTAAAAAATAATCACTTCTCTCTATAAGAAGTCATTGAAAAACTACTGGGCTACAAATATTTTTATAACATTTCAGGTCCAAATTAGTATGATTTCTACTAATGAGCTATTTGTAGTCTCCTCCAATTTGGGTTTTTATCAAGACTTTGTGTTTTTTGAATACTTTTAGGATAACATCAAAATTTTGGAGAAGGTACAGAGATTTCCAATATACCTTGGCAACCCCTCCCATATCCATAGCCTGTCCTGTTATTCACACCCCCACCAGAGTGATACACCTGTTATAATTGATGAAACAACACTGCACATTCTAGTCATCCAAAGATCATAGTTTATGTTATGGTTCACTCTTGATGTTGTACATTCCATGGTTTTAAATAAAGGAATAACAACATGTATCCACCATTATATATTATCATTGCACTGCCTTAAAAATCCTCTGTGTTCTGCCTATTCAACCTTTCCCATCCTTGTTAACTTCAGTTCTTTTTTTACTTTCTCCATAATTTTGCCTTTTTTAGAGTGCCATTGTATTGGAATCATACAGAATATACTTAGTCTCCTTACACTGTCTTTTTTTCATTTAGTAATAAGGACTATCTTTATAATGTCATGGCTTGATAGTTCATTTCTTTTTAGTGCTGAATGACATTCTATTGTATATATGTACCACATTTTATTTATTCATTCATCTACTAAAGGACATCTTGGTGGCTTCCAATTTTTAATAATTATAAATAAAGCTGCTATACAAATTTGTGTGCAAGTTTTTGTGTGGGCATACATTTTCAATTCCTTTGGGAAATACCAAGAAATTCAATTGCTGGATGATATGGTAAGACTATGTTTAACTGTGTAACAAACCACCAAACCATCTTCCAAAGTGGTGGTACCATTTTGAATTCCTAGCAGCAGCAATGGATAAGCATTAGTATTATTCCACATTGTCACCAGCATTTGGTGTTGCTAGTATTCCAGCATTTGTCCATTCTAACAGTTGTGCAATGATATTTCACTACTGTTTTAATTTGCATTTTGCTGGTGACATATGAGGATGAGCATCTTTACAGATGCTTCTTTGCCATCTGTGTAACTTCCTTGGTGTGGTGTTCATTAAGGTCTTTGGCCTATTTTTAATTGGGGTGTTTATTTCCTTAATAAAAACTAGTTTTAAAAGTCCCCTTAATTTTACATAGCCTTACTTTATAATGTTTATCTTTTTACAAATATTTTCTTATCTGTAGCTTGTCTTTTCATTGTCTTGATATTATCTTTTTCAGAGCAGAATTTTTGAATTTTGAAAAAGTCAGCTTATCAGTTATTTCTTTCATATATAATGCTTTTTTTTAATCTAAAAAATCATCAACATCCTGAAGATCATTTAAGTTTTATATTATCTTCTAGGAGTTTTATGGTTTTGTATTTTACATTCAGATCTATGATACATCTTGAACTACTTTTTTTCTGAAGGGTGTAAGGTCTGTATCTAGATTAATATTTTTGTTTGTTCTGCTTATCAGATTTTTTTTATAATTAGGAGCACATTTTTGTTTCCTCCAAATACTATGATCAGTCTGTGGGAGACTGGATGGAGTAAGAATTGAGATGGCAGAGAATGGATAAGGGTATGGGGTTTGGGAACACAAGCAGAGAATGGCCAGTATTTTATTCACAGCCAGTTGCTAAAGGGCATCCATGTCTTTGAGTATTATGGCTGGGGCCCACAGCTTAGAAATTTTTTTTGTTCAAAGATTTTAGAGCTACCAAAATATCATTTAAGATAGACTCTTTGAAAGTATTGGTTCTTATCTTATAGGGCAGTTAAGCTGCTTTTATTACTGAACAATAAAGAATCTAATGATGATGATGATGATGAATGAATGATAGTTACCGAGAACATACTAAGTTTTTATTTATTATATATATTTTTTGTTATTGATTTCAGAGAGGAAAGGTAAAGGAGAGAGATATAGAAACATGAACGATAAAAGAGAATCATTGATAGGCTGCCTCTTGCACGCCCCCTACTGGGGATCAAGCCCACAACCTGGGCATACGCCCTTGACCAGGATCAAACCCAAGACCCTTTAGTCCACAGGCTGATGCTCTATCCACTGAGCAAAACTAGCCAAGGCCTAAGTTTTTATAATATTCACCAGAGGGTAATCACTTATGCCAAGTGATTTATATAAATTATGTAAGTAGACTAACAACCACATACTATTGTATAACTATAATTAAAATTATTATCCTTTTTAAATAGGTGAATCACAAAGAGCTTATGTATTTGGCTATGATAGCATACAGTTGGTAAATGGCAGAACAGATATTCCAAACGTGGTGGTTTTATTCAGAAACTGCACTAAAACCCGTGTACTATACTGCTTTGATCACATGGTTCCTAATTTTTCAGCACGAAATGCAACCATTTGTGAAAACAGATAGCTGTCTATTATTTGGCCTGGGAGAATTTCAATCATTGCTTTGTTCATATTCCTTATTTTATCATCAGAAAATTAGAGGCGAATGAAGTAAAAAGTTTACACAGCATCTAATAATGACTTAAGGATTCTGTTGCTTTCTGTTGGCCCAGAACTTAACTTGTTTATATAGAAAGTCTCAAGTATTTCTTTCCTTAGGTTTGCTGATTTTTTTCCTTATTTGCCAATTCCTTTGGCAAATCTATTGATTTCTTAGCTAACTAGTCATTAGAGCACTATGACTATAATTAAAAGTAATTTTTTCAGTAGCTCTGTGTTTGAACCAAAAATATATAATAAACCATTACCTGTAAGTAAGGAATCACTTTGCAGAGGGAATTTCCAAAGAACCAGGTCTCAGTGATGTCCACAACCAGTGTGGCTGGAAGGCAGGTGATGGTCACAAGCACGTCAGCCAGAGAAAGGTTGACTATGAAGTAGTTGGTCACTGTCCTCATGTGGTGGTTCTTCCACACTGCCACACACACTAATATGGAAAGAAAAAGGAATAATAATTATTATGGACTGGATGCTTGTATTCTCCCAGAATTCATGTGTTTACCTCCTAACCCTCATTGTGATGGTATTAGGAGGTGGGCCTTTGGGTGGAGATTACATCAAAAGTGTGGAGCCCTCATGAATGGGATTCCTGTCCTTATCTCTGACTACTTGTAAGGACTACTTGTAAGGACTACTTGCAAAAAGTCTATTGTCTATAAATTAGAAAGTGGTCATTCACCAGGCCTGAAAGTGCAATACCTTGTTCTTGGACTTTCCTGCCTCTAGAACTGTGAGAAATAAATTTCTATCATTTGTCATTTGTAAACCATCCAGATGATGGTATTCTGTTATAGTAGCCAAGAAAGAATAAGAGAGTAAACTAAACAAAGAAACAAAATAGATACTCACGAGGAAACACTGTTAAGCTAATTAATATTCTTATAAAGTCCACAAACAAATATTGAAAAGGAAAGATACTTTAAGGCTGTGCTGAATTTTCATTGAATTCATCAATCTGTGTGAATGCTGAATATATACTTAAAATCAGTTCACTTGCCTTGCAAGACATTTCTCAATGGATAATAAGAATGTGTTAACTTTTACTTCATGTTGAATTGTGATTCCCAGAAGTTATAGAATAGCCTTTGACTTTTCTTGATGTTCCCTCAGTGCTCAACATGTAGTAGATATTCAAAAAAGTATTTACTGAGTTAAGCTGAATTAGGAGCTAGCGATTTTCAGTGAACTGTAGTTTGCCTCATCCCTGACTTTTACCCTTATCTGATCTCAAACGCTGTGTTTGGAACGTCAATAGATGAAGAGGCTTCAAAGACAAAAGTCAATAATTATTCAGCTCCTGCTATTGCCAAACACTGAGCGAGATGGTTTGTATGCTGAGGTCATTTAATTTGGACAACAAACCAGAAGGGAGGACATGATGACCAACATGAGGTAACTGAGACACAGGGAATTCATGGAACTTGTCTAAGGACAAATGGCTCATAAAGCAGAACTGGGATTAAACACCAAGTGAAGAGCTGGCCTTTCACCACGCTGGTTGCCTTTTTTTGGGGAAATGAAGAAGTTATAACAAAGCCCATATAAATTCTAGAAATGCAATCCTTCTTTCTCTTACACTTCTTGGCCTCTAAACATCACCTTAACACAAACATACTCTTCCGTCTTTCACAGCTGAGCCTGCCTCCTTGCCTTTCAGTATATACTTATGTTTAAGAGCTGCGCTATCTCACTGACCTGCTCTTCATGGAAGGAACAACCAGTCCTTGATTCTCTGCCCTCCTTCTGTCTGGTGTATCCAACAGTTACATAATCACTGACTTCAGAATTATATAGTTGCAAGCACTGCTACCACATTTGTTGATGGTTTGTTTCACAGAAAGTAACTGTGAATTTGCCTGGGGTATCATTAACCTGCCAGAGCTGTCACCTATATACACCCAAATGATGCAGTGATTAATAATCTTATATAATGAAGAAACAAAAGCACATTTTGTTAAATTTAAGTTACTGAATGATGATTTCCTTTTGGCAATTATATATCATTTATTAAGAGTTTCATATACTGAAAAATACTTTCACTAGCTCCTGAAGCTGAAATTACCCTTCAGGCACCAACAGATGCTAATTTAATAGTGTTAAATTTCCCAGGATTTAATTCTGCAAAAAAACTTTACATCTTTATCTAACTCCATGACCCTAGGACCCTCAAACTCAGGTGAACTTCGTTAGGGTGAACTGTAGTTTGTTAGTATCTGAAAATGATGCTGCAGAATTGTTTCTCAGAAACACATAAATCTCTCTCTCTCTTTCTCTCTCTTTCTCTCTCTCTTCCTTCCCCCTCCCTGTCTATCTCTCTCCCTCCCTCCCATGCACAAACCCATCTTAGCAGGGACTAACACATTATCAAGCCTTGTTATAAGGAAATTGTCAAAAGCATCATACCACTAATAATTGGTCAAAAAATGGTCCAAATAGTATAAGTTTGAATCGACAAACAAAAAAACAAACAATACCCCACAATACTTAAAAAAAAAAAAAAAAGGCAGTCTGGTTCTCTCTCTCTTTTTTTTTTATTGTTTAAAGGATTACATGTATCTCCTTTCTCTCAAATTGACACCCCCACCTCCCACCCCAGTTCTCTTAATTCTCCATATTTTGGAGGTGAGAAATAGCAGTGATGGAAAGAAAGACAGTGTTAATGCATTCTGTTTAACCAATATGAAAGCAAATTGTTTTCTTCCCAAGCAACACTTTCATTCTACTTTCTATTGTCATGCACTCTTCTAATCAGTTTAAGTTTCTAACTAGTTTAAACCTCATAATAACACTATGAAGTGATGACTATTAATATTCCTATTTAACAGGTGGGAAACGGAGGCTAAAGAAGTTATGAAACCTACCTAAGGACATATAGCTATAAGTGCCAGAGCTTAAGTATAACTCGTATCTCCCATGCTATGCCATTATATTATGCCCTCTATTGAAGTAGAAGATGAAAAGGAAGTGGCCAACATCTATCTGATGAGACTTCAACAGAGATCATTCAATCTAACCTGCCATTTGATGCATAAGTCACCTCAGTTACCTGCCTGATCGATCCAGCTTGAACATTTTTAATAATAGGAAACTCATAACTTGCTAAAGACCTGGAGTTCATTTTGTGGTGGCATTAACTACTAGCAAGTTCTTGTTTATGTTGAGTTGATAACTGCTTCCCTTTCCTTTCTGTTCATGGGTTTTATTTTTTATTTTTTTTTATGTTCATGGGTTTTAAATTCTTTCCATGTATGGAAGGAATAAACCTTATCTGTTTTCTCTACATCATGACTCTTATTAGTTTTCCTAGGGCTGCTACCACAAAGTACAATAAATGGGGTCTCTTAAAAACAATAGAAATGTATTGTCTCACAGCTCTGGAGGTTAGAAGTCCAAAATCAAGGAGTCAACGTGGCCTTGCTCCCCCTGAAACCTGTAGGGAAATGCTTTGACTGTCTCCTGGTCTCTGGTTGTTTGCTGGCAATCTTTGGCATTGCTTGGTATGCGGCTGCCTAACCCTGACCTCTACCTTCATTATCACATGTGTCTCCACCTTCACATGGTTGTCTTCTTATCAGGATACCAGTGTTATTGGATTAGGCACTGGCTCCACTCCAGTAGGATCTCATCCAAACTAATTTCATCCGCAGGGACTCTATTTCCAAATAAGGGGTCACTGCTCTAGAGTAAGTTTGCAACTCATCAGGACAGGGCCACTGCCCTGCTGGGCTAGGAGAACAGAGCACCAAGCCTCAGAGAATGACTCCTAAACCTTAACACTAATGAGTGCATTTACCCATTTCTCTGCTTTAAAGGGAGAGAAAAGCCCCCTAGCTGAAGAAAGCATTTATCTTCTTCATTCCTTTTTGAGTAATCTCTGACAGCTGGCATAACGTAATTGCATGGCAATTATTCGCTTGGCTCACCGGTCTCCATACACTACATTCTGATGAGCTTTGGTAGGTTCCAAGACATGAACTTGGCATTACTTTTAAAACCAGTTTTCTGAATGATCATGGTCCATCAATATTCAAGACTATTTATAGTGAATTTGAACTGAAAAGCCTGCCCTCATTAACCACGAACAAGGGAGGAATCTTTGAGAACACAGGAATGAAAGACCATCACTGAAGGCAAGAATGCCGTCAATGACATGCCAGCTCTAGCACAGACTTTATTAAAGTAGAGCTTTTTTTGAGATGCAGAGGTGCTGAGAAGATAAAAATCTGTTTATTCCCTCCTCTCTTGCCCTTCTGTAAGGTCACCTTCTCTCCTTTGGTAAGAATCTGATTGTATATATATCACCCATCTTTTCTCCACAGGACTGACGGAGGGAAAAGTGGCTCAAGATGTATGGGAACATAGCAGCTTGTGATGCAAAGATGGATTTAAAAAATAATATATAGATGCAGTCATTAGATATAACCTTAATCATTGTATGGGTCAAAGGTTTAACTGACTTGCCAATAGTAAAAGGAAATATTAGTTTAAAAATACCTTTGCTATTTTATTCTGCACTTATAATAAACTGTTTCCTTTTAGTTTAATACCCATCAGGCCCAAATATGGAAAATCTTTCTCTCTCAAATTGACATTTGTACTTGGAAAAATTTAAACTAACACTACATAAGGTGACATGCTGTCAATCTGTTGGTGATACGACAATTGAAGACATGTAAGCTTCAGAGGTAAGACTGCAACTCTGATTAAAGGTACGCTTATGCCTTCAAATGTCAAGTAATAACCAATTTTGTGATTTCAAAAGGTAATTAAGCATGATATAGTGTGTGTTACTGTGCATCTTGAAAATATTTGCATTAAGTATATCAATTTTATTTTACGCATTTTAAAATGTATTTAATTTTGTAACATTAAAACAAGGTTTAGATGTTATTATACTAAGCAAAATAAGCCAGACATAAAAGGATGATGATTGTGTAGTTCTACTTGGGTTATGTACTGAGACAAATTCATTACCACAGAAAGAAGAATGGTGGTTTCCAGAGGCTGGGAGGAGGAGAGGTTAAGGTATCACTGTTTAAGGTGACTAAAGGTTCAGTTTCACAAGATGAAAAAAGTTCTGGAAATGCATAGTGGGGATGGTTGTCCAACAGTGTCGATGTACTTAGTGTCATGGAACTGTACCATTCGAAATAGTGAAAATGGCAAATTTTCAGTTATGTATATCTTATCAAAATTTAAAAATCAACTTCGATGAAAAAAGATGCTATAAAATTGGAAAAAGAAATTGAACTATAATGATGTCTCTCAATAATCCTCAATGGAATTGTCAAGGAGCAATTTTAATTAAGCATTTTATAAATTTTTAAAATTCACCAACAGCTAAAAGATTCCATGAAAACACAATGTTTCAAAAATACTGTAGTTCCAAAATATTAATGGCAGTGTTAAAAAGAACTAACTGCATGG